GAAGTGTAAAAAAAATACAATGGGGAACTTTACAGAAAAATAAAAAATATGGTTTACTAAAAAGAGTTTCAAATATTTTTATTGCAAATAAAAGTAAACCAAATTGAAATTAAGATAACCCCCCCCCCATTCTCGATTTTAATTTTTCAAGATTTTCAATGGGCTGGTAAATCAATACCAATGCTTGTTAAGGTTTGTAACTTTGCACATATATAATTGAAAATTTAAAAGAGAAGAAAAATAATTTACAAAAATTTTTTGTTATTGTTTTGTTGTTGTTTTTTGTAATTAAAGAAAAGTCCTTATTTTTGATGGCGGGCATGATAACTCCTCACTGGAACATCGGAATCCGAAAATTCCAAAATTCCAAAATTAGAAAATTAGAAAGAGTACATGTCTGGCTCTCGTATGAACTAGGATTATTGACTTCGCTCTAAAATTAACAAAATGGTGGACCTTTGAAAAAATATTTTTGGAAAATCGCCGAATTGTTTTACCAAAAACCAAGTTAAAAAATAAGGAAGATCTTCACCGATTGGCTTTATCCTAGTTCATACGATAGCTATACACTCACAGAGAAACGTGTAAAAATTTGAAATGGATTGGGTTATTAGTTTTTGAGTTATCGTGCCCGCTATTCACAAAAAAATGTTTAGAGAAAAACGCGTTTTAAGTTTGAGAAGCCCTTCAGCCGTCACATGATGCTGACACAATAAATCGGCTATATCTTGAAAAGTTCTTGAGATTTTCACTTGAAATTTTGTAGGGAAATTCTTTAATTAGTGTAGATTCGAATTATATGAACAAAAATTTTGACCCCGAGAATGGGTGGGGGTCCCCTTAAATTAAGATTTTTTATTAACAAATTTTGCATAGGAACCGAGTACACACTAGCCAAAATCAATGGCTTTTCTGGTAGAATTTCACAAAAGCCTGTTCATAAAATCCTGAAAGAGGTGCCCATTAAAAATACCTATAATCGGCCAAGACATTTTTATTGGGGCTATATCATTGAAATTAGAATGCCTGGAATTTTACGATTCTACGAGAAAAAAATCGAAATGCCACATTAAAGGCACTCAGGTCCAAAATAAAACTGAGCAGACCTTCAGCATATGGAACATAAAGTAGGTCCATTCTATGTAAACATATTAGTCAATCTGAAGCAATTTTCTTCCAAATAGTACTCTGGAGCCAGCTTATGTCACTTCTAGAATACCAAAAATTAAGGCGGGACTATATATAGAGGCTATATCAAAATATGGACCTATTTTGATTTCTTTTTGCGAAAAAGTTTACTGTACACCAATTTAATGCCACTTTGGCGGAAACCGAGGAAAAAAACCTTAAAAATACCATTAAGTGAAAATGGGTGTTAAGTTCGATGGGGAAGAACTTTTGATACCCTTACATTCAACTTCATATGATGACTATGTCATTGTAAGGTGCCAGTTAGAATAATATTTATTTGGAAAATTTAAAAAAATATTTTGTAAGCAGTCTGGGTGGAAAACTTAGAAAGCCTTTGTATGGGAACGATGTAAAAATCATCAACCTATATTGAAAAATTCTAGAAAGAAATTTGTTATTCACCAGGAATCACAAATGCCAGATATCAGCCTCTTCAGAATAGTCACCCTCAGAGTACCCTGAAGTGGATTGCGTCCCTCTTCATATGGGGCTATTTCAAAATATGGATCTACATTGAAAAAAAATGTTAGGCAATTATATTTTTCGCCATTCAGGAAGTCGGAATGCTGAATTACAGTTAATTCGGTGGAAAAATGCTTCTACAACGGGTTATAGAGTACGCATGTGGGTAGGGAATCTTTACAAGGGGCTATATCAAAATGTGGATCTGCATTGAAATGTTCGGCCTATATATTTTTTGCCATTCATGAAGTTGGAATGCTCAATTACAGAACCTTTCAGCATAAATGTATTTCACATCCTACAAAAACCCTAAATGCCAAATTACAGCCACTGCGAGGGTGAGAATGCCGCTCTGACTTTAAAAATACCGAAAATAGAGTGACATTTTGACATGGAAGCTTTTGTCCAAACTTTGACCTAACTAAACTAAATTTTCTGCATATATGTATGCCAGCCTTCAAGCAACCTCTATACCAAAGTACAGCCACATCGGAGGGAAAGTGCGGCTTAAACCTTTAAAATACCGAAAATCGGCACGGAACCGTTAAATGGGAGCTATATCAAAACGGTGAGAGATATTGGCAATTTTTCCATTAAGAATATTTATCGCCCTACGGAACCTGAAAAATCTAATTCGAGACAATAGGGATGATAAAAAAGTCCCTAAAGCCCCCAGAATATTGAAATTTATGAGGTACTTTTATATGGGGACTACCCTGAAACTTGGTCCAATTTGGATAATTTTTGTTCGGGAGATTTTCTACTCAATGAGAATCCCTGATATCAAATTAGAAGCAATTCTATTGAAAACCATGCCCAGACGCCCCACATTACCGAATAATGGGGGTGTATCGGTCTATGGGGTTGTGCCGAATAATGGGGGTATACCGTCCAAAAAAAAAAAATTAAGAACAATGATATTTTTTTGTTGGGAAGTTTTTCTAGCCAATGCGATCACGAAATACAAAATTACAGCCAATTTGTTTGAAACGCGTGTCCCAAGTCCCCAAAATAGGGAAATTTTTGTGGTACCCTTTTTTAGGGTCTATCCCAAAAAGTGGTCCAATTTTAATATTTTTGTCGTAGATAGGTTTTTTCTGCTCAATGAGAACCCAAAATTCTAAATTATAGCCAATTCGGTAGAAAAACGCAACCAAACTCCTCAAAATACCGAATATTGAGGAGGTTCTATTCGATTATATGGGGACAATAACAAAACCTGCACTTATTTTGATAAATTTTGGAAAGGAGATTTTCTACTTGATGATAATATAAAATATTATATTTCAGTCAATTAAGATGAAAAATGTGCCCAGGTGCCCCACAGTGCGGAATAATGTCCTCAATATTTCAATTAATAGGGAGTACCATTATATGGGGGCTACCCATAAATTTGGACCAATATGGATAATTTTTGCTAAGAAGATTTTCTGCTCTCTGAGAGTCTAAAATATCAAATTTCAGCCAATTCGGTGGAAATTTGGGAGGTAGCATTATATGGGAGCTATCCGGAAACATGGTTTAATATTTAAAATTGTTGGTAGTGATTTTCGCCATATTACTGAGAATACAAAATACCAAATTACAGCCAATTCAGTTGAAACAAAAATCTTATATAAACTCCCGAAAATACCGAACATTGTGAAAGTACCCTTATATGGGAGCTAGCCTAAAAATTGACCGATATTGCTATTTTTGGTGGGGAGATTTTCTACTCAATGAGAAGTCCTAAACTCAGATTACAACCTATTCTATGAAAAAAGTACTCAAAAGCTTCAAAATACCGAATTTGGGTGTTACATGGGGGCTACCCCAAAAAAGTGGTAAATCTTCATAGTTTTTGGTGAGAACATTCCCTACTCAATTATAACCCGAAATACAAAATTGAAACACATATACTTCCCAAAATACCGACTAAAGAGGGACCTCCTTATATGGGGACTACCCAGAACATGGCCAATATAAATTTTTCAATTTTTGTAGGGAGATTTAGGGACATGCTCGAAGCGACATGGATTTTATGGAGTCCCTAGAAATAATTCAAGGTGTTGCAAACGACATGACGAAATGAAAATTGTTCACAGTAAAACTCGAAATTAAATCCTGTGTACGTTGCTGGTGGAGGATATAAGGTAACTGTTGAGGTCCGAAATAGGATCAATAATTTTTCAAGCTAAAAGAATCTTTTGTTTCATTTTTAAAACCTTTTTCTTAAATATGAAGAAAAAATGCTTTCATGTCGGTTAGTGTGTACTCTGCTATATACAGTGAAACCTCTATATTATGACTTTCTATGAAAAATCCAATATTTCCATGTGAAAAATATTTCCCTTTGAGGATCTCTTCGTATCCGTTGTTAATAATTTTTTTTTTTTTGTATTGAATAATTTTCATTATTTAAAGGTTCCACTGTGCGTTAGAAAAACAAATCTTAAATTCATGAAAATATATTTCAAATATTTTTTGCTTTTAATTTTATTTTCGATTTTATTAAATGACTTATTTATATATTGTCTATGGTATTTAAATATTTATGTTTCATGTTGTACCTGTTATTGTAATTTTTATGGTGTGTATGTGTGTGTGTGTGTTTAAAAATAAAACTCTTATTTTTGTATTTTTTATAGAAATTAAATAAAATTTATTTGATTTGAAAATATATATAAAAAACACAGTTTTTCCATTTTTATGCGCTTTGCCAAATTTCGTGTCCAGAAAATCGTTTAAATCTAATTTTTTGTTTGCCACAGAAATTTGTTTTTTGGTTCGAGTATTTGGTATTCGTTTTCTTCCTTTTTTGGTTTAATTTCATTTCAAAAAAATAAAAATAAAAATTCAATTTTCAATTCAATTTTTTATTCAATTTCCTTTCAACAAAGACAGTGGAACCCAACACAAAAGGGTTAACTAAGAGCAAAGGACCAGGCTCGGAAAATAATTCCACTTCGTAAATATTTTCAAATCTCTTGGACAAGCTTCCACTGTCTAAATAAATATGTAAATGTATGTGTGTGTGTTTGTATTTATATACTTGTGTGTGTGTTTGTTTGCTTTCCTAAAAATCTATGTTTTATTATTTTTTTTATATATATTTTTTAATATGTAAATTTTTTTAGTTAAATTAATACAATTGTTGTTTGTTTATTTATTTTTTTTCTCTCTCTCTCTCTCTCTTTTATATATAGAATCATTTTTTATATTAATTTTTTTTCTTCATTTTTGTTGGGGGGTTTTCTAAAAAAGTTATGTATGTATTTTTGTCGGGACTGTTACTTATTTATACTTATTTTGAGTGTGTTTGTGTGTGTGTGTGTTTGGGAGTTTTAGTTTTATTTAAAACTAAAAACTAAAAAAATTAAAATTAATAAAAAATATAATACGCCTTTTTGAAAGAGGTTTTATACGGTTGGTTTGCTCGCTTAGATTCATGTATCAGACCTGCAAAAAATAAAAGTAGAAAAAAAAAGACAAATTGAAATTAAATAAAATCCAAACCATAAATAATCAAATCGATTTAAATAAATTTGCAAAAATACAAACATTAATTGTTTACCAAAAAAATACAAATAATTTTGATTGATAGATTTTATGGAATTTGAAAAAAATTGAATCCCCACTCACCAATTAAAATAGGTCTCTGGCGCATGGCAACCCTTTTCCGAGCCACACCACTTCGATTCCTTCAATGGCGGACAGGGCCGGCCACCCCGTTTGCCATGTTTGATAATTTTCCGATATCGATGCATTTCACCAATACCGCATGTCTTGCTGCAGGCTGACCACTCTGACCAGTGGCTAACACGACAATCGCGTGGACGTTTCGTACGACGTCGACGATTTGTGGTCGTATAGGTGTTAGCTGATGATGATGACGACATGGATGCTTGATTTCCTGCGGCTGATGATGATGACGAGGATGAGGACGAGGTGACCGATGATGCTGTTAAATCTGAGCGTCTATAGCTGTTGGCAATATTTTGCATAATGGCATTTTTATCGTTTTTCGGTACCACATTATAGGGCTGGGAATTGTTGTTCCTGTAATGGAAAAAATGGGGAGACATGAATTTAAATACATTTGCTACAAATTTTATGTTTAGATAAAATTTTGTGATTTGTTCAAACATGGTTTTAAGGACATTAAATAAAAAATTAAAACAAAACAGTAATATTCGGGAGCTATATATAAATCTGCAAACTTAGGAAAGTAGTAAAATAAAATCGGATGGGGCCGACTATATGATACCCCTCACCACTTTGGGTATATTCTACATATGTATCCAAACAGACGTCGCCCTTTCAAATGTATCAGTCAGACACCCATTGCCAATCTTTGGGTCTTTAGTGAACAACTTAAATTACATCAGTCGAATATATATATATATATATATATAGTTTATCTAAAACTGAACCGATTTTCACGAAACTTAGCACACATCATTCTGGACCTAATTTAGTACCCTATTCCAATTTTTTTTTTGCAAATCGAATGACATGTAGGGTCTTTGGAGCCCCATTTACCTTAGATCGGACTTAAATATATATAGGAACTATATATAAATCTGAACCGATTTTCACGAAACTTAACACCCATCACTCTAGCCTCAATTCAGTACCCTATGCCAAATTTCATGCAAATCGAAAGATATATAGGGACTTTGGAGCCCCATTACCTTAGATCGGACGAAAATATATATGGGAGCCATATATAAATCTGAACCGATTTTCACGAAATTTAACACACATCGTTCTAGACATAATTCAGTACGCTATGCCAAATTTAATGCAAATCGAAGGGTATATAGGGACTTTGGTGCACCATTTACCTAAAATCGGACGAAAGTATAAGTAGGAGCTATATCTAACTCTGAACCGATTTTCTCGAAATTTAACACACATCGTTCTAGACTTAATTCATTACGCTGTGCCAAATTTCGTGCAAATCGAAAGGTATGTAGGGACTTTGGAGCACCATTTACCTAAAATCGGACGAAAATATATATGGGAGCTATATATAAATCTGAACCGATTTTCACGAAAATTGACACACATCATTCTAGACATAATTCAGTACGCTGTGCCAAGTTTCGTGCAAATCGAAGGGCACGGAGGGACTTTGATGCACCATTTTCATAAAATCGGACGAAAATATATATGAGAGCTATATATAAATCTGAACCGATTTTCACGAAATTTTACACACATCATTCTGGGCCTAATTCAGTACTTTATGCCAAATTTCGTGCAAATCGAAGGACATGGAGGGACTTTGGTGCACCATTAACATAAAATCGGACAAAATTATATATGAAAGCTATATCTAAATCTGAACCGATTTTCACGAAACTTAGCACACATCATTCTAGACCTAATTCATTACACTTTTCCAAATTTCGTGCAAATCGAGGGATATATAGGGACTTTGGTGCCCCATTTACCTAAAATCGGACGAAAATATATGTGGGAGCTATATCTAAATCTGAACCGATTGTCTCCAAATTCAATAGAGTTCGTCCTTGGGCCAAATAAGTGACTTGTGCCAAATTTCATCCAAATCGAATTATAAATGCGACCTGTACTTTGTTTACAGTTTAACATCAACAGACGGACGGACGGACGGACATGCATAAATTGACGCAGAAAGTGAATCTATGCTTATTTTTAAAAGGAACCATTTGTCTATCTCGTTAGCTTTTGCCTGTTACAAACATATGCACAAAGACATTATACCCTGTACCACTGTGTGGTGAAGGGTATAAAAAATCCACGCCTTTTGTATGTCGTGGAAAAAATATTTTTTAAAAATCCGTAAATAAAGAAGTTATCGAAAAAAATATTTTTGAAAAAATCCTGATTATGCTGGTGAATGAAATAAAATTCTTGAAAAAATCCCCTCTAATAATTCTATGCGAATAATAATCAGCAACATGACAAATCACCAATTGGAATATTTAAGAAAATCGGTCATCTCCTCCCCCTCCAGTTCGTATAAAAGAAAATTACCAGCAAAAAGAAAACACCAAACTTAATTTGAAATTCCCAACATATTGCAAAGAAAATTAGAAAATAACTGATTCGGAATGCATTCACAAGTCATTTCATGTTTTGTGCATTTCAATATGTGTGCACACACACACACACACTCATACATTCATATGGAAGAATAATAGAAGAAAATTGCTAAACGAAAAAGACAAGAACGCAAATGAAATCGGAAACCACTAAACTACTCCACCCTTCCGACATACACACAAACATTCATATGTCAGTCAGACAGTCAATGCTAACAGCTAACATTGAAAACATATTTTTTTTTTAATTCTTTGTCAGTCGTTTTTTTTCAATTTGTTTTTCTGCGAAACCAAAGAAAAAAGAGCTGTGGAAACCGAATTGAACTAAATTAGAATTTTTGTGCAGATACCTTTACACACAAACACTCTTACATATTTGCGGCCACTGTGTGTAAATGTTGCAATCAGCACACAATTACACTCACACACATCTACACCCATACATAAGTACTGGCAATGATATCCTTTAATGCACACACAGACACACAGCCACACCATCACCACTTAGAATAATTCTCCTCCGGATGAATGGATGGTGTAGTGGGGGGTGGATGGATGGATGGTTTTGTAAAAATACATGTCAAATGGAAATTAACATGAATATGCATGCATTTTTGTGTTGTACAACAACACTAATAGCACAGTAAGAAATGCAGAAAAAAACACGAAAAGGGAAAAGGAAATGCAAACAGTTCCAATTTTCGAACAGCAGCAGCAGTGGCAGTGGCAGTTCAACTGGAATTTTTGTGTGCACCCAAAACTTATAAAGAATTCTATTTGTTGTACATCGACGTACATACATACGAACATGAAGGAAAACAAACAAACGTATGTGTGTATGCATGTATGTATGTAATTGGTTCATGTTAGAGTAAATGTAAAGAAAATATGTATTTCGTGAAAAATGAAAGTTGTAATTAGAAGGTATTCAAAAAAATTGGCAATGGGGCCATAGGAATCCGCTACTAGGATTTTTGAAAGTATTTTTGAAGGACTAATAATGTTTGGACCTAAAAGAAATATTTTTCAAAATTTTAGCATAGAATATATATTTTTTAAACATATTTTTTAAAGTATAGTCACATGTTGTTATATCATAAATATTCTTTTTATACCCTTCACCACACTGTGTTATCGGGTATTATGTCATTGTGCATATGTTTGTAACAGGCAAAAATAATCGAGATATACCCATGGTTCCTTTTGAGAATATGCATAGAATCACTTTCTGAGTCGATTTATGCATGTCCGTCCGTCCGTCTGTCCGTGTTAAATTGTAAACAAAGTACAGGTCGCATTTATGATCCGATTTGAATGAAATTTGGCACAGCTCATTTGTTTGGTCCAAGGACAACCCCTATTGAAATTGGGAAAAAATCGGTTCAGATTTAGATATAGCTCCCATATATATTGTCGTCCGATTTAAGGTAAATGGTGCACCAAAGTCCCTGAAAATTATTCAAGTTGCACGAATTTTGGCATAGCGTACTGACTAAAGTCTAGAATGACGCGTGCATAGTTCCGTGAAAATCAGTTCAGATTTAGATATAGCTTCCATATATAGTTTCGTCCGATTTAAGGCAAATTGTGTACCAAAGTCCCTATATATATATATATGTTTGCACGAAATTTGGCATAGCGTACTGAATTAAGTCTAAAATGATGTCTGCAAAGTTTCGTGGAAATCGGTTCAGGATTAGATATAGCTCCCATATACAATTTCGTCCGATTTAAGGTAAATGGTGTACCAAAGTCTCTATATATCTTTCGATTTGTACGAAATTTGGTACTGAATTCAGCCTAGAATGATGTCTGCCAAGTTTCGTGGAAATCGGCCCAGATTTAGATATAGCTCCCATATATAGTTTCGTTCGATTTAAGGTAAATAGGCCACTAAAGTCCTTATATATATCTTTCGAATTGCATGAAATTTGGCACAGAGTAATGAATAAGGTCTATAATGATGTGTGTTATGTTTCGTGAATATTGGTTCAGATTTAGATATAGCTCCCATATATAGTTTCGCCCGATTTTAGGTAAATAGTCCACTAAAGGCCCTATATATCTTTCGATTTGCACGAAATTTGGCACAGAGTAATGAATAAGGTCTGTAATGATGTGTGTTAAGTTGCATGAAAATCGGTTCAGATTTAGATATAGCTCCCATATATATTTTTATCGGATTTAAGGTGATTGGTGCATCTAAACCCTATGTATCTTTCGATTTGCACGAAATTTGGTATAGCGTACTGAATTGCATCTATAATAATGTGTGCTAAGTTTCCAGAAAATCGGTTCAGATTTAGATATAGCTCCCATATATATCTCCGTCCGATTTAAGGTAAATTGTGTACCAAAGTCCGTATATATTTTTCGATTTGCACGGATTTTGGCATAGCGTTCTGAATTAAGTCTAGTATGATGTGTGCAATGTTTCTTGAATATATATATGTATATATATATATATATGTATATATATTCATCCGATTTTAGGTAATTGGTACACCAAAGTTTCTGAAAATCATTCGATTTGCACGAAATTTGTCATAGCATACTAAATTAGGTCTAGCGTACAATAATACCCAAAGTGGTGAAGGGTATCATATAGTCGGCCCAGTCCGACTTTACTATTTTCCTTACTGGTTTTTTATTACAATCTTGGTATTTTCCCTGCTGATATTATGCCAATTTCTATGTAGGGTGCAGAAAAATAAAATTGAAAAAAATTTGGAAATTATTTTTGATGTTTCCATACCGAATTGATGGCAAGTAAAACACTAATATTTGTGAACACACAAACGTTCCTTCACTCACTTCTTCCCCTCCTCTCTACCAAGCTGAATAGTTAAACAAATAATCACGAAGTTTTTAATGTAACCCAGAAACTGTAAAACTAAAAGGAGGACAAGGACATAGTTGTTAGTACTACTACTATTGACATATCAATACTCAATTTTATACGTACGAACATACACACATAGACACGTAATTTAAATATTTAATAATAATTGTAATTGTATTGGTATGTGGTTTTGAATGGGGGGTTATAGAGGCAAGCTGAAGGTTTTTTTTTAATAGACGAAAACAAGTGGATTTTTTTTAATATTTTTTTCAATTAGGTACCAAAGGCGTGGGTTTTTTAAAAAATAATTGTCTAGAGCGTACAAGTGGCACAAATAGTTTAAAGATATTCTTTCAAGAGCTAGACTACAAAGGCGTAGATTTTCTAAAAACATTTTTCCAAATAGCCAAAATAGGCGGGGATTTTTTAGAAATTTTTTTCCAAGTAGTTACCTAAGGCGTGGATTTTTTACAACAATTTTTTCAAGTAGCCTAGATTTTTAGGCGTTGATTTAAAAAGTAAATTAAGAAGTTTTCTTATTTTTATTTCTTTTTTATTTAAATATTTAATTTTTACAAACACACACACATACATAAACACATCACAGGATATAACTTAACATAATTATTTGCTAATTTTCTTTTTAAATTTTAATAACTGAATTATTGATACAACATTCTTTTGGTCACGAAGTTCGCCACTTTTTTCACAAAATTGTACAGCAACCTCCACTGGAATATACAACCGTCGCAGTAGGACGTGGTGGTGCCATGCCAACAGAAACGGATGCCTGAGGCTGGCCCATGCCACCACCGCCCATTACCACTGTTGTCTGAGGCTGAGGTACTCCAACGGCAACAATGGGTGGCGGTGGTGGAGCAAAGCCACCCACCACCACTACACCAGGTGGTGGTGGAGGTCTAGCACCCACATTGATATTTACTCCAACACCAATTCCGGGACGAGGTGGTGGTGGTCCCCAGCCAGGTGGTGGAGGTCCACCAGGTGGTGGTCTAACAGGTCCAGGTCCAAAGCCTCCAGGTCTACCGTAGCCTGGTGGTGGTGGTCCACCAAAACCTCCAACGCGACCTTGGCGTCCTGGTGGAGGCATTCCAAAAAATTAGCGACGAAATAAAATGTATAAATGAAAGCTGCTCCAAACGGAGGAGAGCAAGCTGGGTGGTAGGGTGTTTGATTGCTGCCGAATTACGTTGTCAACTGAACGCGTTGGGACTTCAAACAAAAATGTGCGTCAAATGACCACCGTTATTATTATGAGTGGAACACAGAAAAAAACACATTTTTTGGAGGGGCCAAACATAAGAACTTAATTTTTTCTTTGTAGGCAAATCTCTGTGATTTAATTACAAATCAATCAGCGGGGCATTTATGTTTGTCATTGTGATTTACAACCACCGACCACTGTTTGTCACACACTCCGATATCTATGATAAAAAAAACGAAACGAATTTTATCTTATCAGTTAAGTTCCGACATTGGGGATATTATTTCCAATTTTCTTTTTAATTTTTTTAATTACAACATTCTTTGGCCCCGAAGTTCGTTGTTTGCCTACGAAATTGTACAGCAACAGCCTCCACTGGAATATGTCACTGTCGCAGTAGGACGCGGTGGTGTTACACCAACAGAAACCGAAGCCTGAGGTTGTGGCACGCCGCCACCACCACCCACAACAACGGTTGTTTGAGGCTTAGGTACTCCAACGCCAACAGATACCGAAGCCTGAGGCTGAGGTACTCCAACACCAACAGAAACCGAAGCCTGGGTTTGTGCTTCGCCGCCACCACCCGTAACAATGGTGGTTTGAGGCTTAGGTACTCCAACATCAACAGAAAGCGATGCCTGAGGCTGAGGTACTCCAACAGAAACCGAAGCCTGGGTTTGTGCCACGCCGCCGCCGCCACCCGTAACAACGGTTGTTTGAGACTGAGGTGCTCCAACACCAACAGATACCGAAGCCTGAGATTGTGCCATGCCACCGCCACCACCCATAACAACTGTTGTTTGAGGCTGAGGTACTCCAACGGCAATAATGGCTGGCGGTGGTGGAGCGAAACCACCCACTACCACAACACCTGGCGGTGGTGGAGGTCTGGCGCCCATATTGATATTTACATCAACTACGGGACGAGGTGGTGGTGGTCCCCAGCCAGGTGGTGGCGGTCCACCTGGTGGGGGACCGGCTGGTGGGGGTCCGCCTGGTGGGCGTGCGGCTGGTGGTGGTCCACCTGGTGGCGATGGTCCAGCTGGTGGTTTAGCAAGTCCAGGTCCTCCTCCAAAACCTCTACCGGATGGGGTTGGTCCAGGTGGTGGTCTAGCAAGCCCAGGTCCTCCTCCAAAACCTCCCCCGGATGGTGGTGGTTTAGCAAGACCAGGTCCTCCTCCCATCATACGTACTTGGCGACCAGGTGGTGGAGGCATTTCAAAAAAATTAGCGCAGAATAAACAAATGGATACAGAAAGCTACTCCAAACAGAGGATGGCAAGCTGGTTGTTTGGTGTATGAGTTCTTCCTAGTTACGTTGTCAACTGAACGCGCTGGGACTTTAAACAATAATATGTGTCAAATGACCACAGTAATTATTTTTAGTGGAACACAGATTTTTTTTTTTTTTTTTTTGAGTGGCTAAAGGTGAGAACTTCAAATTTTTTTTATAGGCAAATCTCTTTGAATTTCCTCAAATCAATCAGCTGGCATTTATATTTGTCATTGTGATTTACAACCAGTGTTTGTCACACACACTTCGATATCTATGATAAAAAACCGAACTATTTTATCTTATCATTTAAATCCCTACCTTGGGGCTATCATTCCATTTTGAAAGGTACTTCCCGGCCGTTGTTATCTATTTTCGATTTTTTATCTATTTGTTATGCGTGCCGCACAACCATTGTTGGTAAACGCCAACATACACTTTTTTACAAAATTATATTTCAATAAGAAAATTTATGTTTTTACTCACATTGGATTCATTTTCTCCAGCAGCTTAGAGCGTATGCGATCTCTTTCCGAGGCCCTTGTCGGCTGTGGTCCCACCTCATTTTGCCTTTCACGTTCTATACTGGCCGACAGTTCGTTATTCATTTCGACATGATTGTGTTCCATTTCCAGATGCGTTTGTGTCTTCACGGTCTCATATTTGCGGTCGTCTTCGGCGAAGTTGAACACTTCGCTGAGTTCGTATTCTTTGAGCTGTAACAAAAAAAAAAAAAATAACATAAATAAATAAATAAGGATTAAAAATAGAAAGGATGGATATCGGAAATTTCTATAGAAAAAAGAGTCCTCAGGGTACTGAGGAATTTTTTTTTATAGAAAAAAGAGTCCTCAGGTTACCGAGGAATTTTTTTCTATAGAAAAAAGAGTCCTCAAGGTACTGAGGATTTTTTTCTGTAGAAAAAAGAGTCCTCAGGGTACTGAGGTCCTCAGGGTACTGAGGAATTTTTTTCTATAGAAAAAAGAGTCCTCAGGGTACTGAGGAATTTTTTTCTATAGAAAAGAGTGTGTATGGATATTTTTTTCAAATAGGCATGGATTTTTTTAAGACCCATATAAGGCGCGGATTTCCTAAAGAATTTTTTCCAAGGCCCATATAAGGCGTGAATTTTTTAAAGAATTTTTTCCAAGGCCCATATAAGGCGTGAATTTCTTAAAGATCTGAGGAATTTTTTTCTATAGAAAAAAGAGTCCTCAGACGTACTGAGGAATTTTTCTATAGAAAAAAGAGTCCTCAGGGTACTGAGGAATTTTTTTTCTATAGAAAAAAGGGTCCTCAGAGTACTGAGGAAATGTTTTCCGTAGAAAAAAGAGTCCTCAGAGTACTGAGGAATTTTTTTCTATAGAAAAAAGAGTCCTCAAGGGACCTGAGGAATTTTTTTCTATAGAAAAAAGAGTCCTCAGCATACTGAGGAATTTTTTTCTATAGAAAAAAGAGTCCTCAGCATACTGAGGAATTTTTTTCTATAGAAAAAAGAGTCCTCAGCGTACTGAGGAATTTTTTTTTCTATAGAAAAAAGAGTCCTCAGGGTACTGAGGATTTTTTTCTATAGAAAAAAGAGTCCTCAGGGTACTGAGGAATTTTTTTCTATAGAAAAAAGAGTCCTCAGTGTTGCTGAGGAATTTTTTTCTATAGAAAAAAGAGTCCTCAGGGTACTGAGGAATTTTTTTCTATAGAAAAAAGAGTCCTCAGGGTATTGAGGAATTTTTTCTATAAAAAAAAGAGTCCTCAGGGTACTGGGGATTTTTTTCTAGACAAAAGAGTCCTCAGAGTACTGAGCAATTTTTCTCAATAGAAAAAAGAGTCCTCCGGGTACTGAGGTATTTTTTTATAAAAAAGGGTCCTCAGGGTACTGAGGATAGTTTTTAAAAGGATCTTGTTAAGGATCTCAAAATGATTTCTTTAAAAAATCTACGTGTTGCTAAGGATCTCAAAAATATTTATTTAAAAAATCATAGCCAGGCGATGAACCCCTAAAAATTATTTTAAAATCCACTCTTTATTAAGGACTTAAAAATACTTTTTAAAAATGTATGCCTTGCAATGAAAGCAATTTATAATATGCCTACCATAACATTTTATTCCCTAACTCATAACAATTAAAATATATTATTTCTAATTATTTTTACAAACATAAAACGATTTCAAAATACCAAATGTTTCCCCCTCCCATCTTCGAATGCGGAGTCCTAAACGGATGTTCTGTTCAAATAAAATTTATTGCCATAACAGGTGTTTCAATTGCAGACGGAAATTAAGCATTTAAAATAAATACTAACAATAATAATTTTCTGTAATTTATGAAACAATATCGAAAACTCCCTCCGTTTCCTAGAGAAAATAAATTTATTTTTCATGAGCTTTGATTCTCAAATTCCCATATTTTTTGCAAAAGGTTGTGTGAAATGGCAAATAAATATTTATTTCCTAGAACAAGAAAAAATAAAGGGCAAACATTTATTTCGGCTACAGTAAAATTTAATAGAGCAGAGAAATATTCAATTTTTTTCCAAAAATAATTTTAGAGAGCAACACACCCAAAAATATGCCTGTGATTACAGATGTGGAAAATTCACATAAAAATTCATTAAGTGGAAAACTAAAGAAAGGTCATAGCAAAGGAACCAAACAACAAAATTAATCAATAAAACCAAAGGTAAACATTTTTGTCTTCAGGGAAATTCGAACGGTAAAAAAACAACAACAACAAAAAACAAAACATCATAAACAGGGGTTTTAGCATCAATTCATGCCTAATTTACACATTCCACACTCATCACTGTCAACATCTTCATTTCCATCATCCCCATCCTTAACAATATCCTCGTCTTCGTTGGAAACCTCAGCTGTGTTTTTGCCCCCTCTTGGCAGGCTTTATTGCCTTGGCCTACTCCTACAGGGCTGTCGATTGTTATCACCTCTTCGGTGTGTCTCGGTAATACCGAAAAATCTTCCAGTTATCCATTCATTCATCCTCAGCTTGAAATGAACAACAATTTCTCTTCTTCATCTCCCTATCCTCTTCCAAGAAGTAAAAAACAAATGTTTGAGGGAAAAAATCTCTGCAGTTGTTGTTTTTATTGGGAAAAACAAGGCAAAGGAATGTTTTTCATTTTTTTGTTGTCGTTGTTTTTTTTTTTTTTTTGTTTTTTGGATAACTGCAAAGAACAAGCCGTAAATTCACAAAAGAATTTTCACAGCAAGAATCAGAATCAGAAGCTTGAATAGGATTATGGATTTTAATGCCATATCAAAACGCTCTTGAAGGTGGCTTTGTGTGTGAGCGAGTGTGTGTGTAGGTATCTTTATATGGCATTTCATTTTTTACGCATGTTAAACACAGACATAAATGTTGGAATTTTTCTAAAGGAATTAAAAAGAACGCCGTAACAAAAACTGTGGGGTATCCAAAAAATAATTTTGAGGTCCTTTGAAAAAAAATTCTCAGTACTCAGGAGACTCTTTTTTCTATAGAAAAAAATTCCTCAGCACACTGAGGACTCTTTTTTCTATAGAAAAAAAAATTCCTCAGCACTCTGAGGAATCTTTTTTCTATAGAAAAAAATTCCTTAGCGCAATGAGGGATCTTTTCTGTAGAAAAAAATTCCTCAGCATTCTCTAAGGACTCTTTTTTCTATAGACGGACTCTTTTTTCCATAGAAAAAAAAAAATCCTCAGCATTCTGAGGACTCTGTTTTCTATAGAAAAAAATTCCTCAGCACTCTGAGGACTCTTTTTTCTGTAGAAAAAAATTCCTTAGCATTCTCTAAGGACTCTTTTTTCTATAGAAGGACTCTTTTTTCTATAGAAAAAAATTCCTTAGCACTCTGAAGACTCTTTTTTCTATAGAAAAAATTCATCAGCACTCTGAGAAAAAATTTCCTCTGAGGACTCTTTTTTCTATAGAAAAAAAATCCTTAGCATTCTCTAAGGACTCTTTTTTCTATAGAAAAAAAATTCCTCAGTACGTCTGAGGACTCTTTTTTCTATAGAAAAAAATTCCTTAGCGCGTCTGAGGACTCTTTTTTCTATAGAAAAAAATTCCTCAGCACTGGGGACTCTTTTTTCTACAGAAAAAAATTCCTCAGCCCACTGGGGACTCTTTTTTCTATAGAAAAAAAATCCTCAGCCCACTGGGGACTCTTTTTTCTATAGAAAAAAATTCCTCAGTACGTCTGAGGACTCTTTTTTCTATAGAAAAAAATTCCTCAGTACGTCTGAGGACTCTTTTTTCTATAGAAAAAAATTCCTCAGTACGTCTGAGGACTCTTTTTTCTATAGAAAAAAATTCCTCAGTACGTCTGAGGACTCTTTTTTCTATAGAAAAAAATTCCTCAGTACGTCTGAGGACTCTTTTTTCTATAGAAAAAAATTCTCAGTACTCTGAGGACGCTTTTTTCTATAGGAAAAAATTCCTCAGTACTCTGAGGACTCTTTTTTCTATAGAAAAAAAATTCCTCAGTACGTCTGAGGACTCTTTTTTTCTATAGAAAAAAAATTCCTCAGTACGTCTGAGGACTCTTTTTTCTATAGAAAAAAAATTCCTCAGTACGTCTGAGGACTCTTTTTTCTATAGAAAAAAATTCCTCAGTACGTCTGAGGACTCTTTTTTCTATAGAAAAAAATTCCTCAGTACGTCTGAGGACTCTTTTTTCTATAGAAAAAAATATTCGTCAGTACTCTTAGGAGTCTTTGCTGATGATTTTTTTACAGAAAGAAGAGTCCTCAGGGTACTGAGGATTTTTTTCTATAGAAAAAGGGTGTCCAGAGTACAGAGGATTTTTTTCTATAGCAAAAAGAGTACTTAGAGTTCTGAAGATTTTTTTCTTTAGAAAAAAATTTCCTCAGAGAACCGAGGAATTTTTTGTATAAAAAAAATAATTAATTTTTTGTAACTCCTGCATGACTTTTGTTGTTGTAAATGTTTCCGTTTTCAATTTTTCCTATGCTTTTTAGTATTTGCAGAACACGTCCTCCCCTTTCCCTTCATATAATATATGAATTATGTGCGTGTGTGTTATGCCACAGCCACAATTCTGTGGCAGTGGTGGTGGTCTATTTTCCGTTTCGTTTGCATAGAAATTCAAATTCAAACTGAAATTCGTGAAAAACGGGAACTAAAAACAAAAACCAGAAATCAGTTCACGTAAATGAAGAACAAATTTTCATTTCAAATATAATTAAGAGGCAACACATTTTTCACAGAGTTTTTCCGAAACTAAGCCATGCTTGTTGGATTGGGGAAGGGAAATTCTATGGCTGATTTAGTGGGAAAAATATAGAAGGTGGAGAGAGGGAGAGTTTGTATGGGGAAAAAGTTAGATAATTGTGTTTTGTTGTTGTTGTTCTAGTTAATGTTTGTTGTATTTCCTTTTAGTTAACATAATGAGTTTTCCGAGCAGATTTTGACATGATTTATAATGAAATAAATCACAATGCAAATGATGACAGCAAGCATGAATGGTAAAAAAACGAAACGAAGCAAAGAGAGCGATTGGATGAATGAAGGGGAAGGAATCCTAAAAATTTGGTTCTTTAGAAATTATTTTTTCAGGGTCTACTAGAGGAGTGAATGTTTTTAAAAAAATTCTCCATGGTCTTCTATAGGCGTGAATGTAAAAAAGAAAAAATCAGGATATACAATAGGAGTGGATTTTTTAAAAAATATTTGTTCAGGGTCTTCGATAAAAAAAATGGTCTACTATAGACATGGATTTAAAAAAATATATATTTTTAGGTAGTACCATTTGATATTTTTGGGTATCCTTCCCTCCTTGCATGCTTCGGAAATGCTGCTTTGAAAATTCCAACTCATGATGATTATAATTTCCTTCATTACTCAGTATTTTTTTGTCGGAGTATTTTTTTCTACAAAGCCACTTGTTTGCCTTAGAGGAACAACAACAACATGAGTGAAGTAACTCAAAACCGAAAAAAATATCGGAAACATGATTTCATGTTAATGAATCATTAGTAATTTTTAATGATGTTGTTAATATTCGAGCGAGTTAAAGCCAGGGCAAATTGGGGAAAAACAAAATTATCCAAAAAAGAGAACAAGAAGAGAAAAACGAAACGAAAAAACTACCAAGCACCTCTCCCACCCTCTGGAACGGAAGTGTTGCTAATTTGTAACTAATTATGTTGTTGAGATTGCTGGGCCACCCTATTCTCACCCTACGAAAATCCAAAAAAATTTCACAGGAGGTGCCCGACAGGCAAAATACTCAAAGGTTGAAGAGTGCTTTTGACATATGAGAGTACTTAACACAGATATGCTTTTTCTACTGACATACACACGCACCTTAAGGCGTACACACATACATATATTTTAATATGGAAATAACACACACACACACACTCATACATACCTTTATAAATTGAAATGTCGCCATGGGCGGCAAACGTTTACTTTTCGGATAGAAAAAACTTCCCGCCGGATGTGCGGGATAACGTGATGTTATACGATAGATAACACCCTGCGGCGATGTTGGCCAATTGGGAGCGGTAAAGGTGAAGCCATTATCGGTGCCAGCATCCAAGGGGTCCATTTCCACGGTGACAGTGTCGATCCAGGAGCCACCAACACAGAGCTGGAAATAAATAACAATAAAAATTAATAAAAAAAAATAGATTATCATACTCTACAATATAAAGGGGCGTAGGGATCCCTCAAGGGACCTGACGAATGTTTTTCTATAGAGAAACCCATTTCAGGGGACCGGATGAATTTTTTTCTATAGAAAATCCACCACAGGGGACCTAAGGATTTTTTTTTCTATAAAAAACACCTCAGTGAACCTGGCGAAACCACCTCAGATGTCCTGAGGAATTTTTTTCTATAGACCTAAGGATTTTTTTTCTATAGAAAAACCACCTCAGGGGACCTGAGGAATTTTTTTCTATAGAAAAAACCACCTCAGGGGACCTGAGGAATTTTTTTCTATAGAAAAATCCACCTCAGGGGACCTGAGGAATTTTTTTCTATAGAAAAATCCACCTCAGGGTACCTGAGGAATTTTTTTCTATAGAAAAAACCACTTCAGGGGACCTGTGGAATTTTTTTCTATAGAAAAACAGACCTCAGGAGACCTGACGAATTTTTTTCTATAGAAAAACGGACCTTAGGTGACCTGACGAATTTTTTTCTATAGAAAAACAGACCTCAGGAGACCTGACGAATTTTTTTCTATAGAAAAACAGACCTCAGGAGACCTGACGATTTTTTTTCTATAGAAGAACAGACCTCAGGAGACCTGACGATTTTTTTTTCTATAGAGGAACAGACCTCAGGAGACCTGACGATTTTTTTTCTATAGAGGAACAGACCTCAGGAGACCTGACGAATTTTTTTCTATAGAAGAACAGACCTCAGGAGACCTGACGAATTTTTTTCTATAGAAAAACAGACCTCAGGGGACCTGAGGAATTTTTTCCTGTAGAAAAACAGACCTCAGGAGACCTGACGATTTTTTTCTATAGAAAAACAGACCTCAGTAGACTTGACGAATTTTTTTCTATAGAAAAACAGACCTCAGGAGACCTGACGATTTTTTTTTCTATAGAAAAAACCAACTCAGGAGACCTGACGATTTTGTTTCTGTACAACAAAATCAACTCAGGGGACTTGATAAATTTGTTTTTTTTTTAAGAAAAAAGATTAATATTCCTGTCAGAATCACAAAAAAATATTCTGGGACCTCTGTGCGTATGACTATTGTCACAACGTATACGCCACCCTATCTACCAAAGAAAAAAATTGTTTATGTTTGTAGTGCTTCTATAGGAAATAGAGAACCCTGTAATATGAGGATTTTTTCTGTAGAATAAATCGCCCTTGTATTGGGTAAATTTTGCTATTAAGCAACTTAAAGTAGAGGTCCTTTGTGCGTATGGATATTGTCGCAACGCATACGTTACCATTCGTTAATGTACTGATGATTTATTTTCTACTGAAGAAAATATGGTGTTTTCTCAGTTCTGCCTTCCCACTCCCCATAATTTACATTTCTACCCTTTCTTAGCCGTGCCATTGAGTAATTTGTTACCTGAAACCTTTTCTTAAATTAAACTATCAATTTATTTCTCCAGTGACCCCCCCAACCTCGCCTCATTACAACATTGGTAAACATCCATTGTTAATGATCACTTACCTGAAATGAATCGACCCCTATAAACCAATCCGGTGATGGTACGATGCGTGTCATTAATGACACCAAACTGTGATTGCTATCGACAAAGAATTTTGCCTCGCTGCGACCCGCACCCTGGTTAATGGCCGGTAAATTGAATTCATCGAAAATGTTACGTTCGCCGGTCGGAACAGCTGTCGGCGTATTATGATTGTTGCGTGTTGTTGTAGACGTCGATGCGGACGAGGACGATGAGGATGTCGTGCTAGATGATGTAGATTTCTGTGTTTGTTGTTTTTGTTGTTGCATTTGCAGTTGTTGCTGTTCGCCTAATTGTGTGTCCAATATTTCACTTTTACCCGTTTCGGCAAATTGTTTAACACCGGATGTTGCCTGTTGGCCGATGTGATATAGGGCATATTTGGCGTCATGTGTACGTCCTGCAAAGAGAATGAAGAAATGAAACGAATCAATAAGTGGGGGTAGTTAGGGGTTTCGGAAGCAATTGCTGGCAAATTGCTGTAATTTAAAAAAAATTTCTGAGCTATTTAAATTTTTAATATGCAGGAAAAAATGAACCACCGTTTTAGGGCTATAATTTGTTTTTAGTTGTAATAGATTACATGGGATTAATGGCGAAAAAATAACTAGAATATATTTACTAACTTGCGGGCTAATGGTAATTGTCATAGATAGCCAGTGATGACAGTTAAAAGGGTTGTTACGAAAGGAATGATAGATTTTTAATTTTATATATATTTTATAAACAAAATCTTCTTCCACACGAATTTAATATTTTATAGGAAATATTAAATTCTAAGCTAAATTATTCAAGGGTACCTCATTACGTATGATTATTGTCGCAACGTATACGCCTCCATTACTCCCAAAGAAATCAATTTTGTCAGGGGTAGAGACCATTTTTTCAGGCAATTTTTTATAAAAGAAGACTTCCTCAGGTTTCGGAGGAAAAAAAGTGTCCTCAGATGTACTGAGGATTTTTTTCTATAGAAAAAAGAGTCCTCAGATGTACTGAGGATTTTTTTCTATAGAAAAAGTGTCCTCAGGCGTACTGAGGAATTTTTTTCGATAGGAAAAAAAGTCCTCAGGCGTACTGAGGATTTTTTTATAGAAAAAAAGTCCTCAGGCGTACTGAGGAATTTTTTTCTATAGAAAAAAAGAGTCCTCTGGGTACTGAGGAATTTTTTTCGATAGAAAAAAGAGTCCTCAGGTGTACTGAGGAATTTTTTTCTATAGAAAAAAGAGTCCTCAGGCGTACTGAGGAATTTTTTTCTATAGAAAAAAGAGTCCTCAGACGTACTGAGGATTTTTTTTCTATAGAAAAAAGAGTCCACTGGGTACAGAGGAATTTTTTTCTATAGAAAAAAGAGTCCTCTGGCTACTGAGGAATTTGTTTCTATAGAAAAAAAAGTCCTCAGGCGTACTGAGGAATTTTTTTCTATAGAAAAAAGAGTCCTCAAGCGTACTGAGGAATTTTTTCTATAGAAAAAAGAGTCCTCAGGCGTACTGAGGAATTTTTTTCTATAGAACAAAGAGTCCTCATGCTACTGAGAATTTTTTTATTGGAAATAAATTTCCGAAGGTCCATACGATTTTTTCAATAGAAAAAAAGTTTTCTTCACGGATCCAACGATTTTTTCCCTTTGAAAAAAGAGTCCTCAGGATCCTGATGGTTGGTTTTCACATAAAAAGGTAAATTATTATAGAGAACCTCAGTGCGTATTATTATTGACACAGCGTATACGGCAACGTATCCTTCAATAGAAAATGGAGTTGTGAGGGCATTGAGCATATTTTGTCCATAATAAAAATTCCTCAGTAACGCTAAGGACTTTTTTTCTATAGAAAAAAAATGCTCAGGGCCGCTGAGGACTTTTTTTCTATAGAAACAATTTCCTCAGTACCGCTGAGGACTCTTTTTTCTATAGAAAAAAATTCCTCAGTCCTCTGAGGACTCTTTTTTCTATAGAAAAAATTTCTCAGGACCCTGAGGAGTTTTTCTATAGAAAAAATTTCTCAGGACCCTGAGGAGTTTTTCTATAGAAAAAAATTTCTCAGGACCGCTGAGAACTCTTTTTTCTATAGAAAAAAATTCCTCAGTACCGCTGAGAACTCTTTTTTCTATAGAAAAAAATTCCTCAGTACAGCTGAGGACTCCTTTTTTCTATAGAAACAAATTCCTCAGAACCCTGAGGACTCTTTTTTCTATAGAAAAAAAATTCCTCAGTATCCTGAGGACTCTTTTTTCTATAGAAAAAAATTCCTCAGTACCGCTGAGGACTCTTTTTTCTATAGAAAAAAATTCCTCAGTACCGCTGAGGACTCTTTTTTCTATAGAAAAAAATTCCTCAGTACCGCTGAGGACTCTTTTTTCTATAGAAAAAAATTCCTCAGTACCGCTGAGGACTCTTTTTTCTATAGAAAAAAATTCCTCAGTACCGCTGAGGACTCTTTTTTCTATAGAAAAAAATTCCTCAGTACCGCTGAGGACTCTTTTTTCTATAGAAAAAAAATCCTCAGTACCGCTGAGGACTCTTTTTTCTATAGAAAAAAATTCCTCAGTACCGCTGAGGACTCTTTTTTCTATAGAAAAAAATTCCTCAGTACCGCTGAGGACTCTTTTTTCTATAGAAAAAAATTCCTCAGTACCGCTGAGGACTCTTTTTTCTATAGAAAAAAATTCCTCAGTACCGCTGAGGACTCTTTTTCTATAGAAAAAAATTCCTCAGTACAGCTCGGCTATAAAGACTCCCCATCAGCTCGTCTATAAAGACTCCCCATCAGCTCGTCTATAAAGACTCCCCATCAGCTCGTCTATAAAGACTCCCTTCAGCTCGTCTATAAAGACTCCCCATCAGCTCGTCTATAAAGACTCCCCATCAGATCGTCTATAAAGACTCCCCATCAGCTCGTCTATAAAGACTCCCCATCAGCTCGTCTATAAAGACTCCCCATCAGCTCGTCTATAAAGACTCCCCATCAGCTCGTCTATAAAGACTCCCCATCAGCTCGTCTATAAAGACTCCCCATCAGCTAGTCTATAAAGACTCCCCATCAGCTCGTCTATAAAGACTCCCCATCAGCTCGTCTATAAAGACTCCCTTCAGCTCGTCTATAAAGACTCCCTTCAGCTCGACTGTAAAGACTACCTTCAGCTCGTCTATAAAGACTGCCTTCAGCTCGTCTATAAAGACTCCCTTCAGCTCGTCTATAAAGGCTCCCTTCAGCTCGTGTATAAAAACTCCCTTCACCTCGTTTATAAAGACTCCCTTCAGCTCGTGTATAAAAACTCCCTTCAGCTCGTTTATAAAGACTCCCTTCAGTTCATCTATAAAGACTCCCCATCAGCTCGTCTATAAAGACTCCCCATCAGCTCGTCTATAAAGACTCCCCATCAGCTCGTCTATAAAGACTCCCCATCAGCTCGTCTATAAAGACTCCCCATCAGCTCGTCTATAAAGACTCCCCATCAGCTCGTCTATAAAGACTCCCCATCAGCTAGTCTATAAAGACTCCCCATCAGCTCGTCTATAAAGACTCCCCATCAGCTCGTCTATAAAGACTCCCTTCAGCTCGTCTATAAAGACTGCCTTCAGCTCGTCTATAAAGACTCCCTTCAGCTCGTCCATAAAGACTTCCTTCAGCTCGTCTATAAAGACCCCCTTCAGCTCGCCTATAAAGACTTATATGGGGGCTATCCGAAAAAATGGACCTTTATTTATAATTTTTGGTAGGGAGATTTGCTACCCAATAAGAACTCAATGTACAAAATTTCAGCGAATTCAGTTAAAAAACGTGCTCAAGAACCTCAAAATACCGAAAATTTGGGGGTACCCTTATATGGGGGCTATGCGAAAAAATGGACCGTTATTTATAATTTCTGGTAGGGAGATTTGCTACCCAATAAGAACACAAAGTACCAAATTTCAGCGAATTCGGTCGGAAAATGCGATCAAAACCCCCAAAATACCGAAATTTGGGGGTAATCTTATATGGGGGCTATCCGAAAAAATGGACCTTTATTTATAATTTTTGGTAGAGAGATTTGCTACCCAATAAGAACTCAAAGTACCAAATTTCAGCGAATTCAGTTAAAAAACGCGCTCAAGAACCTCAAAATACCGAAAATTTTGGGGTACCCTTATATGGGAGCTACACCTAAACGTGGACCGATTTTCTCCAATTTCAATAGGGTTCGTCCTTGGGCCAATTAAGTGACCTGTGCCAAATTTCATCCAAATCGGATCATAAATGCGACCTGTACTTTGTTAACAAAAATACATGGACGGACGGACAGACGGACGGACGGACGGACAGACGGACAGACGGACATGCATAAATCGACTCAGAAAGTGATTCTATGCATATTCTCAAAAGGAACCATGGGTCTATCTCGATTATTTTTGTCTGTTACAAACATATGCACAAAGACATAATACCCTGTACCACAGTGTGGTGAAGGGTATAAATATTCCTCACAAATTTCTGAATTTCCCAGTGTTGCTTTTTCATGCTCAGAATTTTGTTCTTTTCATTTCGTTAATTGAATCCCTACAACTTTTCCCTTAAGAACTCTTCAAGATGCAATAACAAAAGGGGACAACAATTAATGCTGTCACAATACCCAATAAAGACTAGAAATCAATTATTGAACTACCCCCACCACCACGGATATCATATTCGTCAATTATGTTGCTTGCTTCATTAATTTATATTAGACAAATTTATTTTTAGCCCAAGCAACCAATATCCAAACAATTAAAAAAAAAATTGAAATTAAAAATGCTAACGAATTGATATGCTCAGCTGCTGGGATTAATGATTTCTTTGGGGAGTATTGTATTTTACCCGCATTCAATATGTCAACGACATATGACGTGATGTTTTTTGGAAGAGAGTTTGTTTTGAAATGTATTTTAATTGATTATATGACAAACATTGCATATTACTTAACAGCGGAAAGATCCACAGCTCAAAGACTTTCATTTTTTATTAATTTGTTTATTTTTTGTTATAATTATTATTAATTTTTTGTTTTCCAAATCAATGTTTATTTTGGAATTTTTGAACTTTAAGTTCGGTGCAAATTTGGAATATTTTTAATGGAAATAATTTGTGGTATTTTATTAAATGAGAAAAGGGTACATTTTTTGGGGAGAACAGAAGGGACTAACAACAAAAATTTTAGAACTACAGAAGAGCATTTTTAGTGGCGATCATATAGAGCTCTTCATAGATGAATAGAAAAGAGTTGATGTTTTCACATTATTATAATTATTATAAATATTTAGAAAAACTATTTTTTTCAATTCTCACATTTTAAGTGCCAATCACAAACAACAACATACATATTTATGCTACGCTTGAATAGTGACACACACCTCATTTTTTTCAAACTAAATTTTGCAACAAAAAAATTTTCACAC